CGCCCGGGGCTTGGGAGCGAAGAGGTGTGCCAGTCCCCCGGCTGGTGGCTTGGCCACCCCAGGAACCAGCCGCTTGCCCGGCCAGAACCCTATGGCGCAGGTCACCACCTTGCTGGTGACAGCAGCGTCTCCAAAAGTGTCTCGCTAGCAGCTACGAGCGATCCCCACAGCTGAGTAACAATGCTTTGTTCTTGCAGACCACCTCTGGCCTCGTCCCCCTGTGGCACGGCCCCACCGCCACCCTTCTCAGCCTCTCCAGTGCTTTCCAATTTGAAGAGAATCCCAATTCAGATCTTGTTGCCAGGCCCCAACCCACCCCACTGATGCAGAACAAGGTCCCCAAGGGGGAAGCTACGAGCGATCCCCACAGCTGAGTAACAATGCTTTGTTCTTGCAGACCACCTCTGGCCTCGTCCCCCTGTGGCACGGCCCCACCGCCACCCTTCTCAGCCTCTCCAGTGCTTTCCAATTTGAAGAGAATCCCAATTCAGATCTTGTTGCCAGGCCCCAACCCACCCCACTGATGCAGAACAAGGTCCCCAAGGGGGACCACAGAGAACCCCCCGAAGGTACCGCCCTGAAGGTTTAATGATTTTCACACCCTACCTGTGACAGTCACCAGCATGGAGGCCACGAGTGGACGGTTGTTGTCCAGCTTACGGCTCAGCCTCAGCTCCCCGCTCGATTGATTTACAATCAACAAGTGCAGTTCATTTCCCCGCTCAAAGGTGTAGAAGAGGCGGTCGGACACATCTGGGTCATAAGCTGGGACCTTCCCTATGACCCCCGAGGGGAAGGTATTGGACTTGTTGGACACATAGTTATTGAACAGGATCTGGAAGTTCTTGAGAACGGGGCTGTTGTCATTCTGGTCAATGAGTTTGATATGGACCGTGGCTCTGCTGACCAGAGGGGCAGAGGTGGCCTGCACTACAATCACGTACTCAGGTTTTGTCTCATAATCCAGGTCTATCAAGGCCGTGAGTTCCCCAGAAAAGATGTCCATCTGGAATATCTCAGGGATGTTGCCTTCCACAATCTGGTACATGATCTGGGCATTGGGTCCCTCATCCGGGTCGACAGCCGTGATTTGGGCCACGACAGAGCCTACGATGCTGTTCTCCTTTACCAAGACCTCAAACTCTTCAGCAGGCAAGACAGGGGCATTGTCGTTCACATCTTGAATGGTAACCTGGATACGGACAGGAGTTCTCTGAGAAGGGATGCCCCTGTCCACAGCGTACGCAGTCAGCTCATAGACAGGAACGTTCTCACGGTCCAGCTTGCGGACGGTGCGAATGATCCCCGAGGTGGGCTCTATGGTGAAGTCTCCATCCCCGTCCTCCCCGTTCTGGAAGGTGTACTGCACTCGCCCATTGGTGTGGGCATCCCGGTCAGTGGCAGAGATCTGGAGCACACTGGTGAAGGGAGGAGCGTCCTCAGAGATCACGCCCTGGTAATGAGGGCTGACGAACTGCGGGGCGTTGTCATTAACATCATTCACCATGATTTCAACGTAGGTGGTGTCCGCTTTCTGGGGGATCCCATTGTCCTTGGCAGTGATAGCCAACGTGTAGGTGACCTGGTCCTCATAGTCCAGTTCTGCCTGCAGGGTGATGGCTCCAGAGTCTGGATCGATGCGAAACTGAGGGACGTTGTCTTCTAGATAGTATGTGATGCGGGCATTCTCCCCCACGTCGTCGTCCGTGGCGCTGATCACCACCACGGTGCTGCCCACAGGCCGGTCCTCGTTGATGCTGACAGAGTAGTGGGCACTCTGGAACACAGGCCGGTGTGTGTTGGCGTCGGTGATGTTGATGTGAACGTGGCAGTTGTCACGCAGGGTGCGGTCAGAGGCCGTCACAGTGAGCACATAGCGCCTCTCCTGCTTGTAGTCCAGCGGCAGAGACAGAGTGATGAGCCCCATCCCGCCTTGTGTGCTGATGGAGAAGCGGTTCCGTGTGTTGCCTCCAGTGATCTGGTAGGTGATGGCACTGTTCACGTCCCGGTCGATGGCTGTGACGCTGAGGACGCTGGTCCCCACGGCTGCATCCTCGTTCAGGCGGATGAAGTACTCTTTCTGGGTGAACTCGGGATGGTTGTCGTTGACATCCATGACAGTGATGGTGACGCTGGCAGAGGCAGACAAAGATGGAGAACCATGGTCCCGAGCCTCTACCCCAAAAAAATAGTGCTCGACCAACTCCCGGTCCAAGGGACCGCTGACCGTGATCCACCCCGTGGCACTGTTCACCACGAAGGGCGTGTCGGCCGAGACCCCCATCAGTTTGTACTCCAGGCGCGAGTTCTCACCATAGTCCGCATCCACGGCTTGGATGTGGATGACGGAGTGGCCGAGGGGAGCGTTCTCCAGGACGGAGATTTGGAAAGGGGTGCTGACAAAGATGGGGGCATGGTCGTTGATGTCCACCACCTGGATGCTGGCCATGCCAGTGTTGTTCGAGAGGGGAGGGCGCCCCGCGTCCTGAGCCCGGATCCTCAGGGCATACTCCCGCTCCACCTCAAAATCAAGCGGAGCCACCACCTGTATCTCCCCCGTGATGCTGTCGATGGAGAACTGGCCCCGGCTGTTCCCGCTGATGATGTTGTAGTGGACCAGTGCGTTGTTGTCCTTGTCCAGGTCTGTGGCGGTGACGCGCAGGATCTCGGTGTGGGGCCGTATGTCCTCCCTCACCTGGACGATGTAGCGCTTCTCGCTGAACTGAGGGGTGTTGTCGTTCTCGTCCAGGACCGTGATGTAGACCTTGACCGTGGCAGAGCGAGGCCCTGGCTCCCTCCCCTGGTCGTTGGCCTCCACCACCAAGGAGTACCTCTCCATCTTCTCCCTGTCCACTGGCCCGCTGGTGGTGATCAGGCCGGAGCGGGGGTCGATC